TTCCTTCCTTCCTTCCTTCCTTCCTTCCTTCCTTCCTTCCTTCCTTCTTTCTCTTTCTTTCTTTCTTTCCTTTCTTTTCCTTTTCTTTTCTTTTCTTTCTTTTCTTCTTTTCTTTTCTTTCTTTCTTTTTTTCTTTCTTTCTCCTTCCTTCCTTATTTATTCTTTCTTTCTTTTACATATTTTAAGCGTAATGAACCTACAATTATATGTTTGTTTTCCCACTTGATACTATAGTATAATTTTTTTATATTTTTACTTTCTTTTTTTATTATTTCCTTATTAATTTCTAGTATTTAAAAATAATTTTATAATTATTATTTTTATAATTTTTATATTTTATATATTTTACATTTTTATAATTTTATAATTATTATAATTTAATAATTATTATTTACGGTTTTTTAAATTATTTCCTTAATAATTTCCTTATTATTGAACAGTAGCTATGTCTACCTAATGTTGCTCAAGATAATTATTAACCCCTGGTAAATACAATTTAATAGCCATAAGAAAAATGAATGAGTTATAATAATTTTCTGTAATCGCAATAATTGATTCAAAGCCGTGGTAACTTTCAACTTTATAACAGGATTACTTTGTATATCACATCTGTCACCTGCTTTTCAGGGCTATTGCTCACTCTGAAGCATACTGCCTGAGTGGTAGCCTGGGTCAGTAGATCAGCAAGAGCACTCAGAAAGTAGGGCTGCCTGGGTTGGAAGCCTGGCTTTGCCATTTACTTCCTGTTTCAATTTAGTAAGTTATTTAATGTCTTTGCATCTCAGTTTCCTCCTCTGCAAGATGGGATTAAACTGTAGTGCCTGAGTGGCTCAGTTGGTTAAGTTTCCAACTTTGGCTCAGGTCACGATCTCACCATTCATGGGTCCAAGCCCTGCTTTGGGCTCTGTGCTGACAGCTCTGAGCCTGGAGCCTACTTTAAATTCTTTGTCTCCCTTGCTCTCTGCCCCTCCCCCCCAAAAAAATAAACAAAAATTTAAAAAAGATGTAAGATGGCAATAATGATAATACCTACTCTACATTATTATTTTAGAATTACATGATATTATAACACACAATAAATTCCAGCTATCACTGTTGTTATAGTAACATCTGCAATTTTGAGCATTTGCCCTTGTGACTTATTAATGGTTATGGTGGAATAGATCCTCAGTCAGACATGCAGCTGTATGAAAATGAAGTAGTTTCAGTGCATCTGTGTGTTTGATATAATTTCATAAGTATATACATGGGTTAAAAAAAATTCAAAATCATCTCTTTGAAAGAATAATAAACATAAGGAACTTGTCTATCCATGGAATGGTGGCATTAGTTCAAATATATAAATTTTTAAACTCACCCAACTCAAGTCAACTGACCAAGTTCTTTTACAAATGTGTATCACACAACTCTATATGGAAGAAAAATAGTTGAGGTGCCTCACACTGTTCCCTCAAATAAGTGTCTTGTGGGCCATTTAACTTTTCTTTTCTATTGGACCAAACCAAATGTGTTCTGAAATAAGTAATGGGAACACAACTGCACCTATCTCATAAGACTGTTTTGAGGAATAAATGAGTGACTTTTCATTCCGTAGAATAGTGCCTGAACATGATTTAAGTCCTATGCTTGCTAATAAAGTGAAGTAAAAAAGAACAAATCATCCCAACGTGCTGAGAAACTTCTTAGTATTTGCATGATGTAACTGATTATTTGTTTCATATGGAGATTATATGGAGGAATTTTTTTTTTTTTTACTTATATGGAGACTTTTGTCATTTCTAAGTTTTACAAATAGTACTGCAAATGAGCACCTTCGTGCAGGCAATTATGTGCTTTTCTTCTTTTGAAATATTTCCTTTCGGATAAAATCCAGGAGTGGGGTATGCTGGAGCAGTTTCAAGAAGAAGCAGTTTAGTTCTGATGAGGAAGTTTTGCAGGAAGTGGACAGGAAGGAAGAGAGCTAGGGTTTGGGCATTGCTGGAGATGGCAAGGTCAGAACTGCCAAGAGGTGGAGGGCTCTCCCAACAGGCTGAGGTGCTTCTGGGTGTTAGTAGAGAGGCAAAAACAGGATGGTGTGGGGAAAAGAATAAT